GTCTAATCCTGTGGCCATAGTCTTTTCAGCAATGAACAGTTGCTTGCCTTGTAAACAGTATTTCTTGAGGTTTTTATAAAGTTTACAGACTGTATTGAATGATAACTGATCAAAGGCTAGTATCATGCGCCTAATGAAAAGACCTAAAATACAATAATACATAGGAAACAGATTCATCATAGTTATATATCATTATTTTCAAGATTGTCATCAATACAGTATCTTTATCTTTAATTACTATCTACAATATCTACAGCTGTGCTCCTAAATTACTTTAGATCTCAGTTGCAGCCCTCGAAATTAGCGTCGGCATTCGGCAATTTTGATACCGGATTCTTGTTGGAGTTTACACAGAATAAAAGTTTATTTGACAGTTGTGTTGCAACATTGTGAGCTGTGTATATATTTTATATGTCAAAGAGGATTCCTAGTCATTTCTTTACCGCTCGGAAATACGTCAAGTAGGAATTCATGACACAGGTCAAGATGGTTAATTTGTGACGTATAGAGCATAGGGGCCTATCCTCAGCTCGGACTACTGTGTGATGTGATTGTGATAGGTAAAGCCAACGATTAGTGATGGCACGCTCAAAACCCTAACCTAAACATAGCCCAACTGGAGATGGCCAAAGTACACTTTTTTTATGAAACATGTGCGACTTGCAATCGATTGTTGTTAGCCGAACTGAGATTGTGGTAGCGTTGCAATGGAATACACGCGCTGTTGTTGGCTCTTCATTTTAAACCTAGGCCTAGCTCGTTCTAAGCATTAAAAAAAAATTTATTACACCTTTATAGACGATGGGTCATGCAATTGCCTAGTGCATAATCAAAAATGCTGATGTGTGCCGACGCGAGTCTAATTTACGTCGGCATTTTTTGCCAAGGACATTTCGCCCTAATTTTGAGGGCTGGAGCTGACGAGTATAATTTGGGACAGTCGTTATGACAACACTATGAGACATGTGCACATGAGTAATTACAATCATAATGTCTGAAAAAAGTGTATTTGTCTGAGAAGTGGAATCAACTTTGAATGTGTTGTCATAAATAGTGTTGCAATCAGAAACAAACTAACATACATGTACACATCAATTCATTTAAGTTAGCTGGCGAGCTATACTACAATGCGCTCTCACGTCTCAAATACACTACTTTATTGTTTTTTATTCTATTTTGAGGTCAATATGGTCCGAGATTACTTGTCGTCTCAGATCTAAAACGCAATATTACAATCAAGCATATGTTTTTATCTTTTGGCCTAGCGTAATCTGCTTCTCCTTTTCAAACTTTTTAGAAATCAATCAGAGTGACTGAACCAGGAAACACAACACAAAAATATTCCCTATTATTTCCAAACAAAGATTAGCTTAAATTGTTCTAGTTTTTCTTCTTATTAGAAAAGAATAAAGATGAGCGATGCTTATGCCAGTACCTTACCTATGATACAGTTTCTGTGTACAACTGGTTCACTTTCCGATGCTTCTAGCAGTTTACCCGCTGCAACAAAAACATCAGCCATCGATGACAACCCTTCACTTATGAACTTTTCCCAACTAAAATGAAAATAAATTAAACCATGAATAAAATTAGAATGTCAAAACTACCTTGCAGTGTGCACACGCAACTTTGGGCCCCAAAATCCCTGTTCTTTGTGTATTACTATTAATTTTGAAAAAGGTAGATTATTTATAATTTGAATACCGGTACCTTGTAAGTAATGTATTAGCTAGGTCTGCATGAATACCTTGCACCTTCGGCACAAACACTTCTAAATCAACATCGGAACTCTGGGAAAAAAGAATATTTGGCAGTTAGCATTTGACTGAACTGGTCAAGTCTAATCCTACCAAACATGGGATTTGAGAAGAAATAGCTAGGCCAGTCACAATAATAACAACTTCCTGGCTAGGCCTAGGAATATTAAGTGTGACCCTATTGGACTGGAATGTCAATGCCCCTACTGGACTGGTATGTCATAGGCCTAGGCTAGGACTAGGTCGTCATCATCATAGGCCCTAGCCTAGCATTTCTTTCTATAGGCCGCTATGCAGAAGTTATTTATTATATTTCCATGTGTGAAACACGAGTGACAAACCTGAATCCATTTCAGCATACATTTTGCGAACTCTCTGCTAGTCTGAATGTTCCATTTTTTACCCTCACCGCCGCCAACTCCTCCTCCTTCCAATGCGACCTTCTCTTGGTCTCCTTCCGAGTACGCATTAATGAGAACTAAAAGTGATACTTTGTGAGGAGTTACTAATTCCTTAGGCTTCCCTGCCCCTGCAAATCCTGATTTGAATAAATCCATTCAGATTGTTAACAAAATACACGGAAATTTACCAAGATCTAGGCCCAGCTACAAAAGAACAAAGCTTCCGTCCTAGGCCTACCCTAGCTAGGCCACACTTGACTCAGACCTTCGATCGGCTCCTTGTTGATTGATCAATCAACATTCATCCACACATGTTTTTAAGTGAAGCGCCCTCACCCTCTAACAGTCGTGATTGGTCGCGCGCCAGACAAGATTATTAGTGGTTCACAACCAATCAGAAGAAACTTTTGAGTTGATATTATTTACTGTAATATATTAATGTTTGACTACAAACAGATAACAATGATACGATATATTTTTTCGTGACGTAGGCAGGGGAAAGTGGCCAGGGGAAATTGGCCTCCATCACTTTTTCTAATGGGGCCTGGCACCCCAACTTTTGTCAAACATTTTACAAACATTTGTGACAAATACTTTATGAACACTGCAACGTCATTATTATTATTATTATTATTATTATTAATTGGTGTTTAGAGACCTTGTTTAATTGCCCCTTATAAATTGACCTATTATTATTATTATAAAATATAGATCTTTTTTCTTTCATTTTCTAAAGAACATTACAAGTTCCCTTTATAAGTTGAGCAACCAAATGTTGATTGACATCTGTATACGTGCGTCTGTAAAGTTTCCTTTGACGAAAAAAGAATGGAATCACCCGCCATCGTGAATTTTGTAGGCATAGGGTGGAGGTAGGCACTCTTTATGGAGCGACGCTCTTATAGTTCTCTTCATGCTAACCATGAAGATGTAAATGTAGCTGATTGGCTTACAGTAAACCTTAAACTATTGTAATATAACCACATTTAAACTCCATCTAATTTTACGAAAGCAATAAGATACTTTTAATTTTTTTAATGGAGATATAAAGAAAATTATATTCAAATTTTATGTCTGGAAGTGCTATTCCCGGTCATCTAGAGGTGCCATAATCAAAAAATTTTCTTACCTCAGCCCCAACCATGGTGGGGCTGGGTAGTATAGGTTCTCCATCTGTGAAAGTACCCCCCCCCCCCCGGCTCCCCCACCCCTTGATTTCAAATTCCTGGATCCGCCACTGGAAATTACAACAATTATTAAGTCATATTACAGTAGCTTGAAGCCTATAAAATAACTAATAAAATTAACCAAACTTCGTCAAATATCCATAGCTTCCAGGGAGCCAACTCCCATTGGGGCCCTTGGTGGACCCTGGCCCCCATCCTAGATGCTTACTTCGCTCACATACTGGACCTTCCGCCGCCGTTGTTTTAATTGGAGTCTGAATGGAAAATAAACAAAAAATATGGAAAATGTTTTGTATCAGTTTTGTATCCGTTACATGTTATAGTTGAGGCAGGTGGTGCTGCACTGCAGTTATTATACAAATAAGTAAATGATAGCAGTGCTCTA